ACACACATACATACTTGGATCAACCCTTCAAACACAAAGATACTTGTCTTACTTATGAGCTACAGAAAGACCATATTTCACAAATACAATGCCTCCAAATCCATTCCAAGCTAAATGTAGTATTCAGATGGAGTGTTTTTCTACCCCAGTCTGTAAGATTTTAAAGCATTTCAGAATTCTTAACTGAATCTCCAATTTACCTCATAAGCAACTAGGTACTTTTATGCACCGTACCTAAAATATCCAATACTTAAAGGAGGAAAATAATCACTTTGGGTTCATGGCTTCATAGGGTCTCAGTCCATACATCAGAGCATAGAAGGCATGGTAGAATGCATGGCAGTGGCAAATTCATGGCAGTGGCAACATGTGGTAGCAGCTGTCCACATCCCAGATGATTAGGAAGCAGCCAGACTAATAACCTTCAATGACATGCCTGCCCCTAGTGACCTACTACCCCAGCCCTCTCAATACAAGGTTACCAGCCAGGAAACAGACACTCAAAATATGAGCCTATGGGGGGCATTTAAAATTCACACTATAACAATAAATACAAGCCAGATAGAAGAATTACATTTCAGTTTTACGCTACATGGAAAATGACAAGAAAAACACACAAATGATATTCTGCTTACAACATTAACAGAAACATTAACAAGAACAAATTGATTAACAAAGCATGCTAATCTTTAAAGACAAAATATTAAGCTTTAATCTCTCATCCACACCTAAGGTGACTGTAGTTATTCTTATAATTTGGAAGGTTTCTACAATTTTCAAGACATAAAAATCAGCTGTTAGACCAGAGGACACCCGTTTGGAGGATTTTATCTCCATGCTACCTGTCAAGTGCTCAGCCATTCATAAAACGTGGCCCTGCTGACCTCCCTCAGATGTTTTCCTTTGGTAAAAAAAGTTTAGTAGAATATAGTTATAGCACATACAAGTAAGAATCATCTAAATCTGCATTTATTCTAAGTAAATAGCTGCTTACACAATTCTCATGTGTAAAAATCTATGTTTCTACTTCTAGTATTTATTTTAGTGGTGGAATAAATTCATTTTCTACATTCTGCTCTTTTGTAATCCAGTTGGCTTTGGCCAAGATCTCCTCTCACTCACCACTAAGA